ATTTAAATTTTGTTCCTGAATGATGTAGTCTAGAGTCTGGCAACATATGCTTGTCATCATAATTTTCATCCTTTGCTTTCAGTGAGTGGATAAACCATACTTGTGTTTAACAAGGTGCAGTTTTTCCATGCAGTCACTACACCAATCTCTTCCAGAAAATTATTGCTATATTCAGTGTCATCCTGCATCAAGGACATCAATTTCTCTATTAGAAAGGAAAGAAAAAGATACCATTTGTTTGCATGCTATCATTAAAATAATACCTACTTTCATAGGCACAGAAAGCAGCTAACTGTAGCTATCTGAATCCTTTTTGTGTGGTTACAATGTTGGTAAAAATTGTGGATTTTAATTTTCTTTGTCCTGGTTAGTTTTCCTAACAGTTTTTCTCAGTTTGCAAGTCATAAATGCAACCCTTCAGGTCTCCCCCCTTCTCATAGCCTTTTAAACCCAGTAAGGCTGGATCTGCGGTACTTGTATCACAGGATCCCCAATGCTGTGAGGACAGGAACATCTGCATGTTACCCAGTGAATACTTGCCTTTGAAGGAGCATCATTCCTTTCTCCTTGTCATCACAGTCTGTAAATCCTTCATTTGGGGAAATCCATCATCAGGAAGCCTTGAACTGAGCAGCAGCATTTCCAGAAAACCTGAATTTGAGTGTAATTTTGGGTATCAGAGCTGGCCTGGTAGCTGTGCTTTGCACTGAACTTTGATTGAATATCAGTGGAAACAAGGAGACTTGGGGCTGTAGTTATACCAGTGTGATTGTATGGAATATTTTTGTAGAGGTGTGAGTTCTGCTGTTAAATGCTTGCTGGTAATGATGATCTCATCATACTGAAAAAGAAGATGCCTAGGTAAATCTGTGGATTTGAAACACCATTTTTCCAACCCCAATTTCATGTTCCTGCATGTACACAGCATGATAGGGGTTTGGAAACAGAATGTGTTTGCCTTCAGTAGGGTACCTTTGACTAGCAGAACCAAAGGTGTTGCAGCACAGCTGAGTTGAAGGCAGTTACTCTAGCTAAAGCAAATAATGAGTGGTGGCTATGTGTTGGGCTCAGATGCTTCAAGAGACAGCAAAGGAGGGATTTGTGTGGGACTCTTACTGCTGAAATGTAGGGAAGCAAGGATGACTCAGGGCTGTGGGATTTGCTGGAAGAGATTTGTGCTGTACCGCAGATGCTGAGAGCTGAGGATCCAGCCATAAGGAAATAAATAAAAATAAATGGTGATAACTGCTGCCTGCTGAGGATATTAGACAGAGAACCAACACCAACCCAGGCAGTTGCAAAGGGTCACATCCCAAGAGCACTCTGCCAGGGACAAGATTCAAGGTGGTCAAGGGGCATATGCAGCCCTGATCTTTCTGGTTTTTGAGTCCCCAGATATGCAGTGAGCTTTGCAATCACAGCCCCAGTGCCTGGGCTTTGCTGCACACACACACACAGAGGGCTGCAGAATAACCTCTTTGCTTTCTCTTGTGGTGTTTTGGGAGAGCATACTGCTATGATCCCATGCTTACTTTATTGGTTTTTTGTCGGCTTTCTATTACCGAGGCCATTTTCATGCAAATAAGGCCATAGTTAGGTAGTCTACCTACTTCTCCTGCTCATGCCTCATCTGCAGACCTAATCTGATCTTCCTAATAGTCTTGTTGGTTGCTATAGCAATGATAAAGTATTATGAAAAAGGCAGGATGATACTTCAGTGTATGACTTGGTATTACCTTTTCCTTTCTCCCTCCTGGGGAAGACAAACCCAATAATGAGAATTATTTTTTTTTATTCTATTGTTTTATCTAAAGCTTTAACTGTAGGCTTTTTTGAGCCTGGATGCAGTCCTTCTCTCTCAGCAAGCTTGTAGGCTGTGAATAGTGGATCTTGAAAGCAATTAGAGAGAAACAAGGGCCCAAATTTATGAATGCAAGGTATATATCTTTTTTTTAGATGCCAAAGTTGTATGTATTGTGACGCACACAGAGCATGAAATTTACCAGCCCACCATGACAGGAACCTGCTGCAGAGTGCTTAGGGTCCAGTTGGGTTCCCGAAAGTATTGAAACATAGCTGAACATGTTAGCAGTGGGTTTGTTTTGGATTTTCATGAGGAGAATTGCAGGAGAATTACTCAGCACTGCCATTGAAAGTGGCGTTTTGATCAGTAAATTTAAAAATCTTAATTCAGTCAAGGGAGAGGAAGGCAGAAGGTGCAGTATTTTTGCTCAGTAGCAGGATATAGGAATGGGTGGCTGTTGTTTTACACACCTGAGAGGGCAAAAATTACTTACTTAATCTGTATTTTTAACTTTTTTGCCAAGTTTATTGTCAGAATCATGCATCTCTATTAAAGCTTCCAGAAACTATCTAGTTTGTGACAGCCTGAAGGAGCTGTGTTTGTACTAATTCAGCCTTCTTCAGAGCCCACCACCCTGGCAGATGTAGGCAAGCAAAGTGTAAAGTGCTGCTACAGGTTGATCCCTTTTCTCTTGTCATTTTGCATCCCCAATGCAAAACAGCTGGACCTGCCCAACCATGGCAGGATCAGCTTGTTCTTAGGTGCTAGGGTTCACTAGACAAGACCAGGCTGAGATATTGAGTGAGATGCTCTTTCTGACAGTTGGCATCTAAAGGCACCTCAAGCCAAAGAGTTCAAAACCCCACTGTGGGTATATTCTTCGTATCAAATCTCATAGGGACTAAATTGGAGAGTAGATTAAATCTCAAATGGGAGGATTATATTACTTCTGAGTTTATGGCTGGCATTAACTCTGGACATTCTCATTACCTGTATAAAAGTGAGTCCCTTTTTGAATCTTTTATGGCCCAGCTTGACTAAAAGTGGGATGAAAGCAGAAACAATTTTAATTGACTTAGTACTCACTGGTATAAAACTAGTGCAAGAAGATAAATGGTTCCTACAGTCCCTCAGCCCAGATGTATGAGAGATTAATAGAAAATACATTACCAGAAAGAAAGAATTGACTCATTTACCTATTAGTTACATTCAAGGTTACTTAGTTAAGCATTCATATAATGTTTTCTTACAGGAGACAGCTTTGTTTCCTTATTTCCAAACACAGCAGTTCATCTTGCTTTTCATCAGCATAGACAAAAATATCAGGTGAGAGAAAACAAGTCTTTTTTTCCCAGCTGCATGTGTCAAGGAGCCTCTCTGGCATGCAGCCCCCATACAGCGCTGCCTTCTACTTTGTCCTGTGTTCAAAAGACCAATCAAGTGATCTGCTAATGCCATACACCTGGGGCTGGGAAGGGCTTGGGGATGGTGAGGGAGAGGCAAGAGATCAGTTTGCTCTCTCCTCTACCTGTGTGGACACAGAGAAAAACCATCCCAGGCCCACACAGAGTGCAGGAGGCAGCTCTGGAGGCCTCCACCTAGTCGTAGGTTTGGCCAGGTTTTGCCTTTCTCTAAATAATTAGTGGATGTGAGCTTTCAGAGAGCTCCCCACTATGGGGATTTGTACTAGCCAGAGGCCCTTGAGGCTTACATATCCTCAGCAACTCCATCCAAAAAAAAAAAAAAAAAAAAAAAAAGAGAGGAAAGATCAGGTAATGAGTTGCAGAGAAGATATTGTACCCAGCACCCTATGTGCCTTTCAAAGACAGCCTCCACCACCACACAGGGCCACCACCACACCTAAAAGAGGCAAATGGGGTCTCCATGACAAAGGCATCCCTGCCAGGGTTACTGTGTTTGAGGAGTGGCTTTTCAGTTGTTTGAGTTGAGGCTATCAGATGTTGGTGACAGCCAGGTCAGCCTAGCCCTCTGCCAGTCCTGTTCTAGCTAGCTCTAGTGACCCAACCAATGACCTCCTTTCCTTTTGGAAAGGTTTTGTCTTAACAGTTTAGCCCTGGAGGTTAAAAAACATGGTTATCCTTGAGTATTCCTGCTCTAGGTCTCTGGTGATGGCAGTGAGAATGGCTCTGAGAGCAAGTTTATTAATTATGTCATCTCTTCAAATCCTAGAAGAGATTCAGAGCAAGGGCTCAAGGGTTTTTTTTGTCCTGTAGATCATCTTAAAGGTGGGTTGGGAGGCTTTCCTTCATGGGTTAATGTCTGCAATAGGAATTGAGGTAGGTCTTGGCAGCCACCTGCCAAACCATAATGATTCTGAAAAGCACAAGTTCAGAGACTGTGTCTCCAAGGGATAAACCAAAGCAGTAGGACAACTGCTGGCTGAGTGCTTGATAACAACAGCAGAGAGGTCCAGAAGTGAGGAAACAAGGTGTTTGGGGGATCAAGGTGTTTGTATGGCACACAGAGAGCCTTGAAGTATGCATGTCTGTAGCCACTCTCACTCCTGTTATAGAAATGCCTCATGAAGTTGCAGTGCACCCACCTTCAAGGATCAATTTGGGTGGTTGTGGATGTGCTTGACGGTGAGAAGTAGCTGAAGTGAAACTTTCCCTCTTAGACATGAGAAACAGCTGCTCTGATAAGTGCTGAGAGCCTTTGGAGAGGCTGCATTCTCCATCCTTTCTCTTTAATTCTGCTTTTTTGATTTTAGATGTGTTGTGAAGAACTGGTAAAAGAGATACTAGCACATAGTGGGAGTTGAATGTGCTCTTGTCTGTTAGTCATTCTATATTTTTTTATCCATTTGGCACTTTCCGGGGAGTTTCCCCCACACATATTGTGTAGGCTGCCATCTTCCTTTCTGTCTTTGTAGCAAGCATGTGGGCGCAGCCTTGCTTACACTCCAAGCAACCGGAGAACCACCATAAATGTAGCTTATCCGCTTTCTGATGCATTTTCTTTTGCATTGGTTTGGATTTGTGCATCGTCAGTAACATCTGTTCTGCTTTAGTGGCATACAGTTTTCCGAGTCTAATTAGCGAGCTGCTTGTAATCAGGACTATTTCAACTGTTGTCATTCTGAATGTTCTTTTTCCCTTTTTTGTTAATGCCACATTTGCCTGATTGACTTTTTTTGTTGTTTTTTTTTCTCTGTCTTTCTATCGGGCTGCTCCAGGAGCCATGGCTAATCATCTTATAACCAATGCTCTGCTTCGTCCTCATGGCACTAACAACCCTTATAATACATTGCTCGGGGAATCGGCGGTCTGTAACAACCCTTCTGTCAGCATGTACAACGCACAAGGTGTGCTGGAGTTTCTCTCTAATTTTTCTAGTGAGAATTCCATTTTCTGTGGCTTATTTTGGCCCATTTCTTTCTTTTTTTTCCTTCTTTTTTCTTTTTTTTCTACACACACACACACTTTTTTTTTTGGAACTGGGCACAAAAAGAAGATACCCTCCCCTTCCTTTCATTTCAATGCATCTTTCCATCTTCCAGATGCTATTTTCCCATGCGCAATCAAATTCACTTTGAAAAACTTTTGATGGTTTTACTCAAAACATTCATAGTGGTTTTGATTTTGAGTTTTTTTCAGTTTCCTTGCTTTTTGTATTGTTTTGGTCTTGTGTATGTGTGTTGTGTCGGACACATCCATTCCTCTTTGTTTTCAGTGCACTTCCATGTTAAACCATTCATTTCAGAAACAGGAACATCTTTGAAGGTAAGTGAAGCTAAAATGGCCTTTGTCACCAAAGCTGCTCTCATTTGAAATGGTGTAGATAAATGTGGTCAGCAGTGCAGCAGTTTGCACAGGTCGAAAAATGCAAAATAGAATGGCCGTTGATCTCTAACAAAAAATGACAGCTGAAGCAAGGAGTGTAGGTCAGCTCCAAAGAGCAGAGCTGAGATATAGTAAGAGATGTTTTGCCATTTGCATTAATACATTTTATATGTGCTATTAGACAGGAAAAAAATAGAAAAAGGGTGTAAGGAAACGAGAAGCTTTTGCATATCCTCCTTTCGGCAATAGAAAATAAACAGGAAGGGTCAGTTTTACCTAACAGAGGTTTCTCCTATAGAAATCACTCTCTTGTCACGTACATGTTTGTCTCTGCTATGGCTGTGGGAAGGGACCATGTTTGTAAGCTGATGTCCTGATACTTTCATAAGGGAGAGGCAGATGTCTTTAAGCAGGACCTGAGGAAGAGCTGGGGAGTGTGAAGCTCTGCCAGCTCCTGTCTCTTGGTGGCTCCATCCTGCTCTGCCACTTCCATGGGATTATTTTATTTCTTATTTGTAAGGTGGCTGAATCGTTGCAGAGTAACGTTGCATTCAAGTGCAAATGTGTTAGCGCTGTGTCAGCTCTCCACTCCCAATGAGGGCATCACTTTCCAGGAAATTATCTCCAAGGGAAGGGAAATAATGATGGTTGTAATACAAGCAGGAAAACCCCCTTTGTACTATATGGCAGCATATTGTTTATGACAGAAATAGATATTGAACCATATCACTCGGGTGTTTGCATTCAAAACACAAGGAAAGTACATGTGTTTGATCTTTTTCCTGTTCATTAATTTTCTAAACTATGCTAACTTTGTGCAATAAATTTGCTTCCAAGAATGCTTTTTAATAAAAGGGCTACTGTCAAACACGAAATGCTCTGAATTTTAAGAACTTGAGTGTACTGCAAATGTTGAGATGAACTTTGGTGTTCTGACTAGTTTCTTGCATGAAAACATTGAGGTTTCAGAGACTTTTAAACCAAGTGGCAGCAGGTAATGCTGGGTCAACACTAGGCTTAAGATAAGTCCTGATGTTCAGATCTGAGTGCATCAAACGAACCCAGGTGATTTGGGCAGAAACATGTCAAAAATGTTTTATGTGTGTTTTAATAATCATGTGCTCTTCCATTTTTAATACTAGATTGTGATACAGCATTTTATTCCACTAAAATAGCGTAATTGTTTTGGAAGTGCTATTCACCTGAACACAGCTAGGCGGGTAACAGGGAAACCTATCCAGGCTTCATCTGTGGGAGGTGAAGAAAGTGTGGGACCGGTATTGGTCTCATTTAAGCCCCAGAGCTTTGCCATTGATTTCAGAGTGAGCAGAACCCAACCCAGTCTTGTCAGGAGGCTGCAGGTTAAATAATGACCATAGAACTGGTATAGCTATTACATTTTGAACTGGTTACTGTCCCTGAGCAATTGCAAAATGTGAATAGTGAGAGATCCCACAGCAGAAACAAAGGTTAGCAAAACCAACCAGGCTTAATGGTCTTGGCAGTCCTCTGAGATTTCAGGTACTACACCAGCAGACATGCTAAAGCGATGATAGTGCATTGTAAAAGTAGATGCTCTCATCATCTCTGGGTGTGCCTTGGCTGTAGTTGGTGTGCGTTGAGGCCATTGCTAGCTAACATCATTCAACTAACTAATTCCACATCACTAAGGCTATGAATTTTTTTGCACCTTCATATACCACTTCTGGTGCTAGCTATGGATAGAGGCAGGACACACTAAGAAACAGGCCTGATCTGGTTCACCCATTCCTTTCCCCTCCCCAGTTTGATGTTTTAAAATACCATCTCTTCTTAAGCCAAAGCTGCCACATCTGTGTCAGAGAATCACCAGGGGAAAAACCCCCAACTTGGTCCTAGAAAAAAAACAACTTGGAGAGAGTTGGGGAATCAGACCCTAAAAGGCCAAAGTCCTATTTGCCAATGACATAAGTGATCCCTGATAGAAGGAAGCATAGAAGAAGGAGGAGGTGGTGGGTGAGGAGCCAAGTGCCCACTGCCACTGGAAGCTGATGGACATACAGTGGCTCAGTGTCTGAGATGACCCAACAACTTTTGCCAGAACTAGTTTTGAAAGAAGGCATTAACGAGCACTAATGCGCATTAACGAGCTGTGGTTAAAACCTAGCCTGCCACAGACCACTGCAAAGTGGGAAGCTGAGCCTTGTCACTGCCTCTTCATCTTAATCTCTGGTTCTTCTCCTTTTAACCCTTTTTTTCTCAATAGCTTCATTTAGCAATGGCATTATTCAAACTATTATTCATCTAACCTTTTTTTTCGAAGTCAGTGTAGTTTGCCATTTGTTTGTTTTAAAAAAGAATCAGACTCACCAAAGTTTGTAAAGTGTCAGCAGCCCCACGATGAGCAGTCATACTCTTACAGAGTGTTGTTGCAAAGGATGGATGGCAAACATTTTTAGCAAGGAAATAGATTTTGGTTTCAACTGCCAGGGGTTATTATAACTAACAGTAAGTAAAGGCATTCATTTTAAGACTTTGAAAGTAACACTGACAGTGCCTGTCTTTTCAAGAATGACCGTTGCCAGCTTTAAATTTTTCTTAAATTTCCAGGCATTATTTCTTGATTTGTGTTGCACGCTGAACATTTTATAATGGCATTGGAAAACAGTTTAATTGTGATCATTTTTTTAATAAAATAAATATTGAGTTTGCGCGTAAAATATTTTTTTCTGTCTAAAATGTCAATATTTTTAACCTGAAATAAACCTTGTAACAAATTCATGTATTCTGGGCAGTGGAAATTATTTCCGTTAACTCTCTTTTCTGCATATCATCAATTTGCTTTTTACTCATGTTTCTCCTACTGTCGCTGTAAGCTTACTTGTTGTTTTTTCTTTCCTTTTCTTCATGCTGTCGTTTAGAGCCCTACAGAGAGACAAGTATGGGAGTAAAGCTAAACATTGCATATCAAATGTAATTTTTTTTAGTTCACTTTTATTGCATCACATATAGATGATGTAGTGAATAAGGGAAATTAATCTCACAGTTTTGAAATCAAAAGAATATGAATATACATATGTATATATATGTGTATGCGTGTGTATGTATGTATATATATGTATGTATACATATATATATGTAGATGAAATTAGATGATGCTTTCTTTGTTTATTTCTCATTTTTGTGGTACCATTGATCCAGTGTAGTTTCTCATATTCTTGCGTGTATGATTTTTTCACATTTTTATTTGCAAGGTCATGGCATTTTTATACAGCGTGTTTCATTGCAGACCCCATTCTGTTCTCATCTGCAATGCCTCCATTTTATTTCTGCACCAAACCCCAGATCTATGCATTGACAGCAGAAGCACAGTGCTCAGTGCCTCAATGCATATGTTACTCAATGTAACCATCAAAGAGATGCTTTTGTACCTGTCAGCCATTACATATGGTCCTCCCCCACAAGATGCTCACTTTTCATTTCTCCTCAAGCATCGTGACTCAGTTGGGAGCTTTCACCATGAAAATCAATGGCTTTTGCTCTATGTCTGTGATGGCTAGTTGGTTTCTTGGCATAGCTTCCTCATTTGCTGGGAAACCCAGATTATAGCACCACCCTCTAACCTTCAGAAACCTAAAAGGTGACCAATGCATTTGGGGCATTTCACTCAAAAGCAAGAAGTAGCACTTTCCAGCCCTTGACATACAGCAACTATTCCATCGCAGATATAGACTGAATCCTGTATTTTCAGGAGGTAGACATGCCATGGTACTAAGCATGGTATGAGCAACTGTTCATCTGAAATTGTCAGTTTAACGGCTTCTCTGATCCACTGTGGCTTGCTGGGAGTTGCTTGTCGGTTTTTGACAATGCCCAAAGCCCTTAGTTGAGAGGTCGATCTTGCCTGCACTCCTTGCAAGAAGGCCAATAATCCCCAAAAAGAAAGTGCGGTGGCTTAAATGCTGGGACTGATTTTCTTCTCCCTTGCCTATACGTGCTAGCCATCTCCATCAGTGCTCTAGGAAAGAGCTGAGCTTCGGCCTAATGTTGTTGGTGTTGAGACACCTATGGTGGTCTGATAGGCAGATAGTTTGGGGGCATGACAAGACCCTGTTAGTGCTTGCAGGTTCCCCTGAGCCCTCCCCACCCGGGTGGTGATGGTACTTGCTGTACTTTCCACTGAACCCTCTGTTTTAATTTTGCAAGTGTAATAGGAGCTTCACAAGACCCCAGAACAGCTGCCTCCCAACATTGATTGTATTAGAAAATCCCCACCTGGCCACTGTGAAGGAGTCAATAACTTTGGTTGTGCCCTTGTGCCAGAAGAGGTGGGGCATTTAGCCCTTGTTCCAAAAAAGCCTGAGCCAGGAAGAACTTTGTGCCTCTGCCCTACTAATCCCTGAATCCTGCCATTCAGGCCTTACATCTTTATTTACCCTGACAGTCTGCCTAGCAAAAAGGGAGAGTGGATCTTTTTCCTCTAGGAAGGATACACTTCCAGACAAAGTCTGGGTAATGATTAGCCTGGGCTGCAAATACTTTTCCCTCAGCTGGGAGGAATTGCCCCTTTCCTCCAAAGCACCTGGAGCCAGGGCAATTGGAACCAGCCCGGGGTCATCTATTTTTCAGCTTGCCCAGGAATGCATATAGTAAAGTGCAAGAGCTATAGGAGATACTGGCCAGGAGAGGTTATCCTTCCAGCTGGCTGTTGCCACATCAAGTCACATACTTGATGGTGCTTTCCATTTTTTTGGTGGAAAGACCTTGTCCACCAGCTGGTTAGCTAGAGCTGCGCCCTTCTGTTTTGGACGCAACGCTCTTCTTGCTGCCTAGCCCCAGCAGCCATGGCAGCCTAGGAAGGGGGTTTGAGTGTGCTCGTCCTGCATGAGTGTCCTGTTTGTACAAGTCACCCTCTCTTGTGTAATGTTTTTCAGAGGGGCTTCTGAACAATGCCAGGGATACAAGTGTCATGGATACTCTACCACTGAATGGTAATCATGGCAACAGCTACAGCATCGCCAGCGGCGAGTACCTCAGCAACTGCGTGCAAATCCTTGACCGTGGGTACAACCACACAGAGAACGCCCTTGAGAAAAAGATCCTGAAGGAACTCACCTCCAACTACATCCCTTCCTACCTGAACAACCATGAGCGCTCCAGTGAGCAGAGCCGCAACTTGATGAACAAACTCGTCAACAGTGTGGGTGGCAGGAGCGAGGATGACGCCATCGTGCTGGATGACGCCACCTCCTTCACCCACGAGGAAAGCCTGGGCCTGGAGCTCATCCACGAGGCGTCGGACGCCCCACTACTGCCTCCCCGGGTGTACTCGGCAGATAACCACCATCCCCACCTCTACAGTCGGCGGCGCATCCCACAAGACAACAGTGAGAGCTTTTTCCCTTTGCTGACCAATGAGCACACGGACGACCTCCAGTCACCCAACAGGGATTCTCTCTACACCAGTATGCCCGCACTGGCTGGCATGCCCATGACGGAAAGTGTCACTGCCAGCACCCAGACCGATCCTCCGCCAGCCAAAAGTGGTGGTGGCGATGTCGATGATGTTTACTACAAAAGCATGCCCAACCTTGGCTCCAGGAACCACGTCCATCAGCTACACACTTACTACCAGCTAGGTCGAGGCAGCAGCGATGGTTTTATAGTCCCGCCAAACAAAGAGGGAACTTCCCCAGACGGCAATGCAAAAGGACCCGCTCATTTGGTCACTAGTCTATAGAAGATTCAGCAAAAATTAAGCAAAGAGACAACTAAAAGCCTCTCCGTAACACTCGGTTTACTGTTCTGAGTTAATCCAAACAGTGGTAATATTGTGTGTACTCCTAAATCTTCATGCTGTTCGAAGGGAAATTCTCAGACTTTTTTTACTGGAATTTTTAGGCTGGCCTGGAGAGGACAGTAACTGCTGCCCCACCCCCCCCCTTATCTTTCCATTCTACTTCCCTCCAGACAGACTTCATTATGTTAATGAAAGAGATAGATAACGGCACACTTTGTGGCCTTCTCAAGTTATGCCGTGTTTGTTTAAACAATCCTTGATGCTGTGTTGCTCTTAATACCAAGGACCTGATTTAAGTGAGAAAAAAATGTAATAAAAGGCCAAAAATGTGCATTTGAAACTAGTAGTGATGATGCATCTAGGTGGGAGCATAAAACAAGGTAGCAAAACTCTTTCTTACCAATCCAGATCACATCATGGGTTGTGGTCACTCACAACTTGGTTTCACTGCAGCGCCCTTTGCTGCAGGAGCAAACAAAGCAAAAACAAATTTAATGAGACAGAAAGGAATCCTAGAATCCTGTGCTAAAGGCATATTTTACATTTTGCTGTATTAACGGATGATAAAAACTAATGGCAGAAAAAGAGAAGAGAACAATTTCTATGTAATGTACAGATACTAGCATTGCACATATAGTCTGCTTTCTGTTCCTCCAGAACTTGCGTCCCTGTTAATGTAGTGGAAAAAAAAATAAGAACATTTTTTCTGTTGTGCTGGTCTTGTAAGTTTGTCTACCAGTAGGAGCAAGGTTTTGCATAACTCCTTTTTTATTAAATATTTTTTTGCCTCTTCCTCTGCCCCTCCCCTCTGTCCATTCCCCATCCCAGCAAAAAGATCTCACTGGGCAAAAAGAAACCCCAAACATCACTTTTTAAGGACCATTTTTAGTAACACCATCACCATTTCTTTTCAGCCAAGGCAGTCTTTTTATTTCCTTGCAGTATAACATTTTTCAGCTGGCATATTGCCAGCAGACATTTTGACAGACTAGAGCAGGGCAAACTTCCTTGTTGTCAGTGCACAACCAATTGTGATGATAATCCTGTGAATTATCTTTGTGATATCCTGTGAAACATCTTTGGCAAGTAGCCCCTCAGCCAGGCCATGGGGTCACATCCAGGGACTGGGAGGATAGTGGGGGTTCTACAGGAGACAGCCATTTCCCTGGAGGATCAAAGGGCCTTCTTGGCTCAGTCTGGTCCCTGGTTTAGGCACTTCTACTGCAGTGGTTAAGAAGAAAATAGATTGATGCGTAGTGATCTAAAAAGTACTTTGCAGTGATTTTTAATTAAAAAGTCTTCTGTTCATTGTTTTTCCTAACAGGAAATTTATTTATTTGACAGGATTTTTAAATAACATAGGCTTTCTGGAGGTAAATTAGCAGCACGGAGTATGAATTCTTCTTCTTTTTATCTTTTTTTTTTTTTAATTTATGATCCATTTTGTACGGTCTCAGCAGTTGAATGACCTCATTACTAATATTTGTTGTAAAGTGAAGCTTGTTTGCCAACCAATAAACAACTGATCACGATTTAGAAGATTATGTATGTATGTACTGTACGATTGAGCTCTCTTTTTTGTTGTTGTCCCTCTCTCCATTACTGTCTTCATTTGAGTCTCCACTCCTTTACAACATGGGTGAGCAATGCCAAAGAAAGGAGGCCTAAGCTGAGCACTTTAAGCACAAAGGTTATGCAGCTATGGCTGACTAGAAAGATCAGGCTAGTGGTACTTCTTTAGGAGCAAGAGCTGATTGACATTTGTTGCAGGTGATTATAGGTTGTTTTGTGCCTGTATTGGCTACTGTAGAAAGTAGGCAATGACACATGGATGATCTGAGTATAGTGTTTCATATGTCGTATCTTTTAATAATTGTAATGGATTTCTTTTTTTTTTCCTTTTTTTTTTTCTTTGGGTTATTCTGAGATTTAAAACTGCTGGTAGTATGTCAAAGAGTAAGCAAGTCCCCGTTAGGCCTCCTTGGTCATTGTTTGCTGTCTCTTTATTTTTTTGCTCCAGGCATATGCCAAGCACCATCACCATCCTCGGCCACATTGCCCTTCCTGTCCCACCACTACCGATGGCCCACTGGCACTTCACTGCTCTCCTCTAGTCTCCCTCTTCAGATCCCTTGAGAGCAATCAGGAATACAGAAAGCCACAAAATAGACTAGAAATGTTGACAGGCAAAATAACCCCCCCTGGACATGGTTGGTAACACCATTTTCATTCGTAATTTTTCGCAAAGCCCTCTCATGCTCTGGGCATTGGGGTCTGGTGCTGCCTTCACCCAAACTGCCTCTATCCAAGTCCCATCACACTGGGTAAAAGCCAAAAGACTTGGAGCAGGTGGGTGAGATCTGTGCTACACAAGGTATTCCCAGTGCCGGAGGATAAATGCAGCAGCAGAGCAGCTCTGCTCCATTCAGGGATTGTCCTTGTGTTTAAGCGATGGTGCTTGGTGCTGCTCAGCGGAGTCTTGTTGGGGAGGAGAACCAGGGGTGGTGGTATTTGATGGTACTCATGGTATACAAAAGAGTCTGGTTTGAGTCACAAGTCTTTCCTGCAGCTAGCCACTGTGGCAAAACACCTTGGGGAGGAAACTTCATTTCTGACCAAGCACTGGTCACAGCTGTGTCTCTTGCCAAGTCTAGGTTTCAACAAGGAGGCATTTCCTATTGGAATATAGAGAATTACCTGACTTCATAGCAGAACAGCCACTGACCAGCCAGGTCATGTTCTTGCTCTTCATGCTGCCTCCCTGTTTGATTCCATTTTCCATACCAGCAGTGATGGGACTGGACAGTGCATGGTACACCTATGTGTGCAGGCAAAGCAGGCATTTCAGACCCTTGTGGTCATAGCAATCCATGTTGCAGCCCAATGGAGGCTGCTGAGGCTTAAATAATATAAGTACCTCTTACTTTGGAGAAAGTAAAAACTCTCTTACTGTATTAGGCTCAAAAAATAGTTTTCCAGGGATATGGTGGGATGGTGCATTCATGCAGACAGTGAGATATGCTTTAGCAAATTTCATTGTGATAAGTAAGAGGCAGGTTATCAACATGGCATTTACCAGTGTTCCCGAAACTATGCAAGAACAAACCAGTGGTGGGTTCACTGTGGGATGACTT